CTAAATGTTTGCCAGTGATACCAGGTAGGTGAATGCTTTTGACGCGCGTGCCTTATATCTAGGCCTCTTCTTCATTCTGTGATTAGCACGGTCACCAAGCGCTCGACTGAAAAGAATTCCAGGTGCTTCGCAATTCAATTCGATATGCCTTTCTCTTTGCAGGTCAGTCGCTTATGATGTTCCCCTGACAGGATAGACAGTTTATTATGGAGTTTGGTCTTCGCCATGAAGAGAAATACGAGTGCCTACCTTATGCAGATCTCGATAAATTGAGATAATGCTTATCTGGCTGATCGTAACTCAAACCACTGTACTATATTAAGGCTCTTTGGCCCTGAACTGTTTGAGGTATCTCCTAGTTATACTAGATAGTTGTTAAATGTTTGACAGTAAAACTTTGTCATATTGGGGAGTACTGTGACGATTGGCAATGTGGGAAGAATCACCATATCAGATCTCGCCTTCTTCTGCCAAGGCGTTTTCTACGCCTATATCACTGGCTAACACACTGGTGTACGTGATTTTGCAACATGTACCGACAAGCACGCCGTTCTGTCGTCAGAGGACAAGCTTCGAATTGCCTGACTGGTCGGATTCTGCCTGATTGAGGGCCGCAGCTTACCCCGCACTTGCCTGGAGCATTGACGCTTGGAGTGCAGGGCTGGATTGTGATTACCTTGGGTACGCAGGAGAAGGTATCGCAATACATACAATTACACGAATGGACGTGAGCATATTGGGATTTATGAGGTCGTAGTCCGTGCCGCGCGGTCGCTTTTGGAGGCTCCAGGGCAGTACTAGATATACTACGGAAGTTCTTCAGAGTCCCTGTCATTTAAGTCACCTCGGGAAGAGATAGTAAAAGTAGCTGGGCCATGCCGTCCACAAATGTATTACCGGCCCCCTCACTCGTCCTCATTTTGCTATTCTTCAATGTAGCTGCCGCCTCTCTTACTAGTAGTTTACAGGATCGCAACTTGCACAGGACAAATCCCGCCACCTCCTCTCCTCTTTGTCTTGGCTTGTGTGTTGCCTAGCGTCTAAGTGGTTGTTACCCCAGGTATGATCAAGCAGCCTTGTTGTTATGATTGATCTTTATTCTGCAAAGAGCAGAAGCCTGTACAGTGGAAATGAGGTCACAGTGCCTATGGAGTAAGGATCACTATTTCTATATATAAGTATGAAGTTATCTACCGAAACAAAGCACGAAGTCGTCAACTGTGCTTTGGACATGTTGGAGAGCAACATACCCTGTAGTTACTAAGTGTGGCTTGCCGTATGAAGCACGGTACCAAATCCTGCTTATCTTCTCACATGGTACGAGGATCTGTCCCAGGTTCGAGTCGTCACATTAGAAACGGAAATGCTCTCTCATAGGATGCAAGCAATCACAAGTGACGGTCTCTGGTCTCATGAGAATGATCTCTTTCAGCATCTGATGTTCATTGGCTAGCATTGTCCAAAGACAAAGGGCAAAAAAGCAAGTAAGTGGATTCGGACTGAGCGGGAATGAATGATAAAGTATGAATGGAGACTGGATTCTCGATGCTCCCCTGGTCTTTTCTATCACAGTCTTTCTTCAACCCTCCGCTGAATTCTAGCCAAAGGTACCTATCATCTCTTACCTACCATTGATGAATTAAAGTGATTTGTCCGTAGCGTACTAATGATTCGATTTATAAGTATGACCGTGAATAATGCATCAAGTGCCAACTACTTTTGAGATGTATGCAGTGTAGCTAGTTGACGTACTTTACCTACCTGGTTCTAGGTACTGTAGCTCAAAGGTACTTTTAGATTAGCTGACGGTTACTGGATCTGGCGTCTAGCATTGTTACAGAGAAGGGTGAATCGCTGGTTCTTACTGCTCCCTTCCCATTATTAGTTCTATTTTCTGTTTCTCTTTCCCTCCCTTCTCCCCCATTTGTTTATCGATCACTTCGTCAGCCTACCTCTACTCCTCCCACTGCTGCTTCTTCAACCTCCGAATGTAACTTGTCTCTGCTCCTGACAACTATTACTATTACCCACTCTTCAGCTCGGGTTAATTACTTCTGATGTTTCCCCTCGTTTACTCTTCTTGAAGATAAAGATACCAATTAAAATGAACTCTGACGATCAGTAAGCCTCACCTCTGATCTCACACTCCTCTCCGTTCCCTCTTGTATCTCCACCGGGTCCTGACAAAGAGTGTCTTATCATCATCGACTCCAGTCAACAACATCGAGTCAGTCCGTACTATTTTCAGCCAATGTATCCTAAGATGCTAGAGAACTACTCCTGTGACTGTGCCTAAACCTGTTTATACATCCCTCTCTCTTTCCCCTTCCCTCGCCTACTCTTCCCTCTGAACCCTCACTTTCTTACCCACTCCATCCCAGCACTCTCTTTTTTTGACTTAATCGCATACATACAGTACATGCATGCATGCATGTATCACCCTCCGGTCGCTCCTTTCTGCCCTTCGCTCATTTTCCCTCCTTCCTTTTCTGCGGCGCTACCGCCACACTGTGGGATGCGCCCGTGTCATCACCGCGTCTAGTGTAACAAAAAGAGCCCACTTCCCTAGACTTGACGGCCAATCTACACAAACTCCTGTCAGTAGCAGATGTGCTAATCTCCTAAGCATGTGTATTGACAGATGAATCGTCGCAGCGTGACTGGGACAGCGGCGTATCTTCCAACATGTCGTAAGTGCCCTTTTCTTGTCCTGCGCCGCAGCAGAAGACCTTTCTTTCCCTTTCCGTGTACTCCATATACATGGGATATACATGTGCATGCTATAAGCGTATTTCTCTTGGAACACTCCCCGCTCATGGCGGGAAAAGGTGCACGTCTCACTTACTAACCTTGAGTCTCTTCCTTCTCTTTTGGACCAGGTCGCCTCCAACATCCAAGCGCATCAAGACATCTGTCTCCACCAGCGTACCACCACAACTCCTAACACAGCAACAAATCAACCCTTTCCAGAGAGTCCCTGCTTACGAGGGCATTCCTATACCTCCTGCTCAGGTGGCGCCTCAGAACTCCCGCAAACGCCGCGCTTCACCCCAGTCAAGTGCCACAGCAACCATGGCTGCACCAGTCACTTCTGCTTCGGCGGATGCAACGCAAAACCCCCAAAGTGCCCCAGAAGCGGCTCCAAAAAAGAAAGGACGGACCAATACGCCCTGGACGGCGGAGGAAGAACAGAGACTCAAGACGATGCGCGACGCGGGTCGCAGCTGGAGCGAGATTGCCAAGGTTCGTCCCCATGGTCTACCTCATATTGATAAAACTGGCGTCGCTGATTCTTTGCTCCTTTACGTACCCTGCAGACCTTTCCCACCCGAACTGAGGGGAGTGTGAAAAAGCACTGGTACAAGGTTGGGCGTGTCCTCACTCCCATGGGCTCGGACATGATACTCACATCGGACACAGGATATGCATTATGCTGAGTTCGCGGAAGAAGAGGTACTGCCTGTCAGATTATTGGATGATCTTTGCGCGTTGACACCATTCAGTCCGTTGCCCTACGGGAGGCAATAAAAGAATACGAGGCCAACAAGTGGAAGGTCATCGGACAGAAAGTTGGAAAGCCCGCCAAAGTTAGTCACCTCTTCCTCCAACTTGCATGGTGTCCAACTCCTAAATCATTGTGTATAAACAGGCATGCGAGCAATATGCGAAGGAGCATTTTAAGAATCTTTGATGGTGATATGACATTCAACGACGTGACGATTTTCATGCAGGGTAATGATTGCAACTCTCTACATATCGAAATCAGAGCTTCGCGGTGGGCACACAGAGCGCATGACATGGAAACAAGGTTTAGGAACGGCACAGGTTCATGGAGTTCGTCATTTTTCATTTGTCCAGTCTATGTTCTTCGTTTCGTTGGGTTTCCTTTCGGCCGTGCTCTTCTACTGTCACTATACGCCCTTGACTTCACTTGTTTATTTTCGATCAAATGCATTTCTCCACCAAGGTGATGCATGTGCTAGATTCAATGTGATTGCTTAAGACATCCCGAGCCACACGTGCCTATCAAGCCGTCCCTGTTTCAATCCCTTTTGCTTAACAATATGATCATACTTCGCGCTACCAAGACGATAATGTATATGTAGGGCTTGGACGGCCCAAGCTCTCCGAGGGCTGATCGTTGAGGGTTCCGCGATAATAGATGTAGAGCCGACAACTACCTGTCTCGCTTATCTGATACTTTATCTGTTATTTATCGTGTACTTTCAAATTTCGATCCGTCGCCCCGTTAAGGATGACTTTTGCCAAGGCCCGAAGGGCGGAGACCAGGAAAGACGTTTTCGAGGTTGAAAAAAGTTTCCCGCGGCGGGAAACAAATACTTGGAGAAGCCTTCCTCGGATACCCGCTCATTTTCTTTGTCTCTGTTCTCTTCTTTTCTTTTCACCTTACTCGTGGTACCCATCATTGTGTCGATCGAACTTTGTCAGAGAGGGAAGAGACTTGCGCTTGCGCTCATTGGCATATCGATCGAGTTCCCCACATATTACTCGGTAGTAGTTCGCTCCATCATTGTGTGGAGACAAACCTTTATCGGAGCAAAACTCGCTGACTCAAAAGATCCTCCGCTCCATCACCAGGTCATCGAGTGTCACACCGGTTCGATCTCCATTGGGCCCAGAAGCAACATTCCAGTACATCTCTCCTGTCTTCTTAAATCTGCAACAAATAGCTTTCAAGCCTATCATGAAGACGAGTAGCCTGGTTTTGTCTATCGATCAAGGTATCTAGATAATCTACCTGCATGAAGACCGGTGTTCGGCTCCAGCGTTGCGTTTCACATATCCTCTGGTGGCCATTGTCGCTAGTCGCATTGTCAGATTGTCGTCAGTGGTCCCTGGATGCATGTGGCGTCGCTGTTGTCGTTCTGAGATTATACGGTTGAACTTGATCTGGATAATTCCAGCGAAAGGACTCATGCGCGCTTCTTTGAGCTTCTAGCCCTTTCAATCGTATTTAATACTAACTCAAGAGTAACAGCATGTCGTCTGAAATCGCGAATCCCTCGCTAGGGATGCACTCCGAAAAGGAGCCTTCGGGCTTCCGTTCTGAGGAGCAACCGACTCCTTATCATCACAAGAATGGTGAAAACCATAGCGAGAGCCCCAATGGCCGCGCTATCCCGTCCCGCGTGGGCACGTACCTTAGGAGGTTCGAGCAACAGCTCGTCGAGTATAACTTCGAGGCACGCGGAATCGAACGAGTGCATGAGGGTGAACGCATGAAAAAGCTCTCCTGGGTTTCCTACACCCAGGCGTTCCTGCTCTGGGTCTCGATCAATCTGGCCGCAAACAACATAACTCTGGGGATGTTGGGTCCTGTTGTTTATGGGCTCAGCTTCCTTGATTCGACGCTGTGTGCTGTTCTGGGTGCATTGCTTGGTTCTGTGGTGTCGTCGTGGATGGCTACTCGAGGACCTATCTCTGGAATCCGCACCATGGTATGTACTCGTCTCGCTTAAGTGTTTTGCGCGATAAGCCAGCTTTCTCTGACAGTTATGCAGGCTTTCGGGCGTTATGCAATGGGATGGTGGCCCAGCAAGATCATAGTGATTTTGAACTTGATCCAGATGCTCGGGTATTGCCTCATTGACTGCGTAGTCGGCGGCCAAATCTTGTCTGCTGTCTCGCCAAATGGGAATCTATCAGTTGCCGTTGGTGAGTAGCTTGTCATTTATTAATGGTTGTCCTTGAATTAACAAGTCGAAGGTATCGTGATCATAGCTCTTATAAGTTGGGTCGTTGCCACCTTTGGCATTGATGCCTTCCATTACTATGAGCGGTATGTAAAGCTTGGAAGAGTTGAACAAACAAAGACTGACCGTATCAAGCTACGCCTTCCTTCCTCAGTTGATCGTCGTCTGCGTCTTGTTCGGCGTCTCCGCCACGAAGTATGACCTGACAAGGCCATCGGTAGGAGATGCTCGCACAATCGTCGGGAACCGGTATGTTTCTGGAGTCCTTGTTTATATGCGGCGAAAAGATTTTTGTTCGAGTCTGACAGCATCAGGCTATCGTTCTTTTCGATTTGCGTGAGTGCTGCCATCACCTATGCTCCCCTGGCGGCAGACTTTTTCGTCTACTATCCAGAAGGAACCTCCAAGTTGGCCATCTTCTCCCTATCCTTGTCGGGCCTGATGGTCTCGTTCACCCTGGCCCTCCTCGCCGGTATTGGGCTCGCCTCCGGTATACCTTCCCACCTAGAATACAGCGCGGCATACGCAAAGGGTGCAGGCGCCCTCATCGTCGAAGGGTTCGGCCCTCTGCATGGATTCGGCAAGTTCTGCTCCGTAGTTGTCGCCCTCGGACTGATCGCCAATACCGTTGCCCCTACATACTCTGCGGGTGTCGACTTCCAAATCCTCGGCCGGTACGCGGAGAAGGTACCTCGCGCTATCTGGAACACCATTGGCGTGGTCATCTACATCGTCTGCGCGCTGGCGGGGCGGAGCCACCTATCCGAGATCTTCACCAACTTCCTCGCGCTTATGGGATACTGGGTCGCGATCTGGATCGCGATCATTCTCGAAGAGCACTTCATCTTCCGCTGGCGCAGCGGATACAACTGGTACGCCTGGAACGATCCGTCCAAGCTGCCCGTGGGCATTGCAGCCTTCATTGCATTCTTGGTCGGTTGGGCCGGTGCTGTCCTCTGCATGGCGCAGCTTTGGTATATCGGACCGCTTGCCAACTTGGTCGGGGAATCTGGCGCAGATGTGAGTGCCATCTCTGTTCTTCATGCGAGTAAACCCTCTTCTGACTTGCTACAGATGGGCAACTATGTGGGATTCACATGGGCCGCCCTCGTCTACCCTCCCCTACGGTACATTGAACTTCGCTGGCTCAAACGGTGAGTCTGCTGGTGACTTGGTACTTGAGCTACGACAAAACATTGTCACGGCCGAACAAATAGACATGCACGACTATAGAAGAGTAAAGACCGAGGAGAAGGTTTTATCGTGGGGATAATATTGAAAAGTTCTTTGTTGGATTCTTAATGCATACACGTCTATTCCTTAGCAATAATGCCATTGATGAGTTTTGGTTATGGATTGGATTGGTTCCGCCACCGAAATTTGTATGTTGCTGATGCCCAATTCATGTCGATCGCGCCATATGACTGGCATTTGCAGTCAAAGATCTATCTAGCCACAAACGAAAAGCACCGGGGTTTCGGGCTACTTCCGGTTCCCCGATACTCCCGTGGATCAGGCCATACTCCATAATCCGTACTAGGCCATGTCATGCCATTTAGCCATGGCTGCATGGGTCACGTCCTTCTCAAAGCTTGCGTAGACTTGACGGGTAAACAAAGTCCGGGAAGACAAGCTACAGTAAAGCAGTAGAGCTAGGAAGAAGAGAAAATCGACGCAAACAAACACCAATCACACTCCGTTCAATCAACTTCGACTATATTCTACAAAAAAAAGAAAAATCACAGGGAGGGGTCAACAGTGAAGATACAACCGCCTTAGACGCGTGACAAATAAACGGTCAAAAAGGCCTGAGGTGGGAATACTAGCTATTTGACGTTTGCTGTCTATCGTCCGTTCTTTTCTCCTAAATCTTTTCCGTGGAGTAACAGGCCACAGGACAATCGCACAATATTCGTAGCATGGAATATTTACCGGTACCAGTACTCAGGCTTGACGTAGTCGGCGAAGGTCTTGGGCTCCTCATGAGGGGGGTGGTGGCTGTGATGCTCGTCTGCAGACAAATATGTAAGGATCCGGAAAACAACGGAAAGGGACAATAGAAGGCGAGCAGAGATATGGAACAAGTAAAGGGGACTTACGAGCATGGGGGTCCTCCTCAGGCCCAACATACTCCAGCTTGACGACATTACCACACTCGCCGCAGCGCTCAATGGGACGATCACGAGATACCTATGGTGAGAGAGAAGATATGTCTTAGCCATCTGCGCAATTTGAGAGCTCAAAGAAGCCCCGAAGCGTGCAATACTTACCGTCAGCCAGACGACGTGGTGAGAGTCTGCGGGGTATCCAGTGCAACCGGCGTACTGCTCGTCACCAGCGCTCTTGACAATGATGGGGTTGTCAAGAGTTCCTAATCACGCAAATTTCGTTAGCCTCGATTCAAACGCGCGGCACGCTGCTCACACGATTCAATTTAATGCAAGCGGATCTGCATACCCTTTCTGGAAGCATCGAGGGGTCTCATGTCGAAGATGTCAATGCCCTGCATCTTCCCAACAAGTTCCAGACGCTCAAGACCGGTGGCCTGCTCGATGTCTGAAGGGACGGTGCCGGGCTTAGCACCCGGGGCAATGAGGTCCTCTTCACCCTTGATATCTGCAAAGTAAACATAAAGTGTCAGCACAATGCTTTGTTCACAGTAGGTGTTGTAGCCGAGGGAAAGTCAACGAAACCCAGTATGACGAAAATGCAAGAATGAGACCGAGAACGAGTCCAGCGACACATTGCATAGCACAAATAGGTAGCTCTCGACAGGAAAAATGATTGGCATTTTCGAAATTCTCGTAATGTTGCATGACAGGGGCCCGGACGGATCGTCTTTATCACCAACCTTCAAAAGGAAGAATCTTGCCCTCCTTCTTCACCTCATACTTCTTGTTGCCTAAAACACGAAAAAGCCCAATGTTAGCCGGAGTACCATGCAGCATTGTCGACAAAGTGATTATCGATTGCCTTGTGCAGACTCAATTGGGCCACGCAAGGGACGATGGTGTCATAGAGGTGGTGCTGGCCATTTATTGGGTTCACGTACAGCGGACGACCGAGGAGGAAAAAGGACGAGCAGCAATGGCTCTGACGGGGGCGCGCCTTGCAAGGGCGAAAGCTGTGCGTTGGAGGAACATTGTCCTGGACAATTGATGGTATCGCAGCTGGACGAGTGGAGGGAGGAGGGTTGGTGGAGAGGGAGTTTGGAGGTTCGAGGTGAGTTTGAAGCCGTTTCGGCCCGCTGACAACTGGAGCACCTGACTGAGAGCCGCCCAAACCTCCCGAGTGGTGCGCTGCGTCTTACTCAGCAAGCCCAGATGATTGGCTGCGGAGCTTCTACGGTGCAACACAAATACCAGTATAGCATTCCTTCCCTTTCCGGTAATCTTCTTAGGGCTTAGGGTAAATATAACTGCGTCGCGGCATTGCAGCACCTGGGGTCCAAAAGACTGTTCTAATCCCTATAATACAGGTATATACACAATGTTGTATAATCATCTTTCCATAGCCAGCCATGGTTTTCCTTCAACCATCCGTCGCTTAAGGGGAAAAAGAGAAATCCAAAAAAGAAGTAGGAAATCCCACGCGTCACTGACCATTCCCATCTTCGTGTATCCTATATGACATCCATCAAAACATTCGTCACAGCTGAGACGCCTTTTCTCGACAAGCTGCTGGAGTAAAGCCATTGCCGACCTTCCCTGCGATTATTCGCCATCGATCATTCTCGTACTCTTGTATCGCACGCTGTAGTCGTTGAACCTAAACATGCATCAGTTAGTACGTCAATGGTTCCTTTGATATGTTGATCTCATAATGTAATGCTTACCATCTCATCCGTCCATGTTACATCCTTGGCCTTCAGCTTGGTACAGTAACGAACTTGCAGCGTGCCACTCGTTCGACCAGGAAAGAAATCGGCAATTTGCTTCCACGTCAGGTTCTTGTTCTCTTTCAACTCAACCAGTAAGGCGTCCTCTTCTTGCGTAAATTTGAGTTTCGGGCCTCGAGGCCTGGGAGCCGGATCAGGCATCCCCGGTTGGCCCACCACGCTTGGTGGACCAGAGGGAATAGGAGATGTTTCCACATTCATGCCATGCCGCTCTGCAGAGTGAAGCGATGCCTGCGGGGGTAGACGATGGTGGTGGTGTTGTTGGGGCAGCGCCATCGACTCAGGCGGCCCGAATCCATGGCTCGACATCGGTTGATGATGATGGTGGTGGTGATGGTGGTGTTGTTGTTGTTGTTGTTGCGTTTGCTGTTGCTGTTGATGGTGTGCTTGTTGCTGTGAAGAATCGCCTTGGACAGAAAAGAGCATCCCTGGGGATTGTGCCGTCTCTGTAGATGCCTGCGTGGAAAGCGCTGACAAGCGCGGGCGGACTCCATGGTCGCTGTAGTCGCCCTCGCCTTCCGCCTCGGAATGGTGTCGCTTCTTGCCGCGTTGAACTGGTGGGATCTCGAAGGTGGCAGGGGTATACTGCATCGGAAGCTGTCTAGGGAGCATGTGCGCTGGTGTGAGAACAACGGACTGGGAAATGTCAGGATTTGCTGCTGGGAGAACGGTCGTGCTTGMATGATGTTGCTCGTATGCCGTGCTGTTTGGGGTCCCCTGCGGGAACGGAGGGTTGGCCTCTTTATGACGTTGAAGATGCGAATGCTGCGTTTGGTAGGCGAGTGCGTTCTCATGCCCCTCTGGTTTAGCATGTTGGGCATAATCAAGAGCATAATCTCGGTACGGATCCGCCAGCGTCACAGACATACATCGGCTCTGCTAGGGCTCCGAAGCCCCGGCAGGCTATTCGACCTTTTGTTAAAAGCTTCGACACGGGATCTGACTGTATAGAAGATGACCGGAGCCTGGTTATTGCGACAAGTAGAAGGGGAACGCTTCGTTTATGTCGGAGGTTGCGATGCGAACGTTAGCTGATGCGAGGAGCTGCAACACGAGATGATTCCGCCATGCACAACGACAGGGAGACTCTCGAGTAAACCAGTCCTACCCTTGGCTGGTCGCCAGCGATGTGGTACGCGTTGATACGTGCTGATATGCGCTGACTGTCCCACTGGTCAATATGATGGAATATATCCAGATGATGATGAGCCGGGGGCGCGAATAGAAGCGTGTGATGCATATCGAGTCGAGAAATGTCCAGGGGCAGGAAGGGCCATTTAGGCCTTCTGTATCTGATGAAGGTCCAGGCTATAGGTTGCTTGGGGTGAACTTGGCAAATGGAAACAGCTTCCTCTTACCAGGGTACGTTGGCCAGTTGGGTCTCTGAAATGGAATGTTTTAAACTTGGTCGTCAACGCACTAAATGCGATGGGTCAGCTTTACCGAATCAAGGCAACGGATAGGCCAGACACAGAGCTCGACTGGCATCAGGGGAGATTAGTGTGAAAATGGGATTTTTTGAGGCGCTCCTTGTCCTTACTGAAGGTGCAAGGACACGGAGATAAAAGCAGGAGAAAAAGGAAATTACAAAGGCCGAGACAAGCTCAGATAAATCTCTCATAAGGCGCACACCCTGTTCGGTAATAGTGCGCGGCCTCTTTATGCCGGCCGACAATACAGATTAATGGATGCGAAGACACGAGAAATGTTCTAGAATGGAAAGGGTAATCGGATGGTAGAGAAGAGGCGGAGTTCCATTCATCACAGAATCGGCACAAGGAAAGAAAATCGCCCATTCGACGGATAACTGCGTTTCCAGTCAAGCTTACCTAGCTTGCAGATGGGACCTAAAGCATACAATGACGACTGTACTCCAACAAGGCAATTTTAAAAACTGGGAGGTTTATTTGCTCCGTGCCAGGCTGCCCGATTACTGCCAAAGTATGGCAGTTTCCGGGAAGGTTAAGAAGGCGAGAAGCAAACTGACAGCAACAATTAAGCCTGAAACACAGCGCTTGACAAAGAGAGTCTCACAGAGTCTCATATTTAGCTTCTTTGTCACCATGCATGTATGTCTACAGGATCAACAGGAGCGGAGACAGTCAAGCCCGCTTATACACCAAGGCTGGGCTAGGATAAACTAATGTTCACCTATTGGATACGAAAGAGGATGAGCAGGACGCTGGACGTCGGGTTAAGTGATTCACTCTAGATACCGACATGCCGTAGACTAGTTAGGCTGAAATAGCCAACGGCCCTGGTTGACCGTCGAGACAAGACAAGGCCGTACTTTGGGTGCCAGAAACTCCACTCAAAATGACAGGCCAATAAATGAGAAGGCGCTGAGCACATAGGAGTAGCCGGCGAAACTCCCACGAGGTAAGAGGGGGATGACAGAGTATCAGGACTACTAGCGCAAGGATGCTAGCTAGCTCATGGCTGGTGTTTAGTGGGCCGTGGCCCTGCCAGTTCCAGCCTAACGTTCTGACTCGAGTATAAGAGAACGATCCCGGTCTATAAATCCTGTAGGTCTCAAAAAACGGTGTGGACCTCGGGGTAATGTCACGAAATCAAGCTGCGAATGCCAGGCTCCGAATCTGTGATGGAGTAGGAGGTAATGCTGTCAAGCAGGAGATGTAGTATCTCACGCAGGCTAGTGTTTGTGACCTGAAAATGACCCACCGAAAGTTCCCTTTGTCTTATTTTCATCGACAATTTCCCTGCTTCTATTTGGAAGGATTTTCCTTTTTCTTTTCTTTTTTCTTTTTTTCCTTTTCCCTTTTTCGCCGGAACTGTTGTCAGAAACTAACAACGGCATACCCGAGTCCTCTGCGGAATAAGGTCGAGACCGTCAAACGACTGTCGAGTGAGCTTCCCCCGAGTTTATTCCGCTGTCTCTCTTAGAAATCAGAAATACCACTTGGATAAGAAGGGTAAGCCATCCCCGACTAACGGTCGGATTTCAATTGCCTAGTTTCCGAGATGGCTTGTGGTCCGTGTGCGTTCGTTGACTTGTGAGTTGTGACTCGTCGAGGGGATGTCAACCGTCGTTCTCACCAGCTTTATCTAAATCCGTCGAGATCGCCATCAACGTGGTGTTTTTGACGGGCAATCTGTGTGCGAAGTAAGCTAGACCCATCAGTTGATTAGAATCTGTCATAGCGTACATTGGTGGATATGATCGTAGTCTTTCGGCACGCTTTGCGATCGATGATTTCCACCCGTATCTCACTACTGTAACAGTGTTGGGCCGCATGCATTTTGACTTTGGTTCTAAAGTCCTTGAGGCGATGGTGAAACAGATTTTCGCTCTCGCAAAAGAAAACGCTAATGGTTGGCCAAGAAAAGGAAAATTGAGGTTGCTCGGTCCCCATGACTTAGGAGAAAGTTGAGGCCTACACCGGAGCCAACCGGGAGGAATGGCGTTAGTGTGTTCGAAAAGACTGAGCMAGAATGGGACATCAGGAAGCTGGGGGGTTGGGAAATGGCTGAGTTGCTTCGTAACTAGCCTGCTGGGTAGAAACATAGATAGGCAGGAAGAGGTGGTTGCCAATGTCGACCTAGCGTGGGTCCTGTTGGTGGGATGATCTGAAGCCATCGTCAAACAGTCAAACCATCTCCCAATTAAAGATGCTTCCAGCCCAGTCCAGTCTCGGGTCTGTCTACACTAGACTGCACCATCCGGTTTACCAATCCTTCTAAGCCCCGTATTAATTTTAAAGAAAGGATACTAGTCTCTACTCTCTAATCCATCTATGAAGCATAGTCAAACTGCTTATCAAGAATCAAGCAAACATCATACTCGATAGAACGAATCAAGTCTCAGAGCAGATCGACAATAGAATATAATCAACCAACTGATCATTGTACTAACTACTGTACATACATACAAGGCCTCAGTATTCATTTCAAGTTGTGGTCTGCATCGCATAAAGATGATCGTTCCTTGCTTTTCTGGCCATGGCTCAAATTATGTCGCCCTAAAAAACAGATCAATGGAGGAAAGAAAGCACTTCAGTCATGCTTTAAGAGTAAAAACAATGTGGAACATTTCAAGAAGGGGAAAGCGCCTCGAGAACAGGGACAGTAAGACAAGATAGAGAGAAAGAAAAGAAGGGAATCCCAACACCAGTACTTGCTTTAAGCGAAATTATCGGAACGATCAACCCAAATGTCCTCGAGTTCCGCGAAGTTCTGGAAATGCAAAGGACGATGTTTGTCGTCATAGAACCTCAACGGCGTATCAATCTTGACATAGACAGGTCGCTTTTCGACGCTGCCGAAAGAGCTTCCCATGAAGCTATAGTTCCACACATTATCTTCAGGGACCAGGAAGTATCCACGTATCTTGTCGCTCAGCAGCAGTTGGCATTTCTGACCCATGCTGGTCGAGAACCCTTGTGGTTGGTCAGATGTGGTGTCTTTGTTCTCAGCTCCCCACTTGTAACCCTGGGGCGTCAGCCCCCACGCTGCAAGGGAAACAGATCCAGGGGTGAATGACACTGTCATCGTAACGGTCTTCTTGTCCCACGAGGGGTGAGCATTCATCAACCGCGCATGCTGAGTCACATCCATAGCAGTCATGTAATGTGGCTCATTGCCAGAGATCGTGTGGATGACACCGAGAGGCTCAAGCCCGTTCAGATACTCATGCTGTGGCAACTGTTGGGGCAACTGAACATCTCGAGTATTTCCGACCTGCGGAATCATGACGATGGTTCGAATCTCCTTCACTTGGTCGTTATCAGGAGGAGAGCTACCGTAGAGGTATCCAGCAACCTGCACTCGAAGATCGGCAATAGTGATGAAGCGACGAAGGATGTTCTTGGGCATGATATAAGTGTATCCTTCCTCTGAAACATCATCTGACGAAATGTAGATATTGTTGGCCCTCGTGCGAAGATTCGATGTCGCAATTGCCCGTGTACGCCATTCCGTCTTCGAAGCAAACGACTGCTGTTCGTACTGAGAAGTGGTAGTGACAATGATTTCTTCACCGCGAACATTCTGCGTCTTCGTCGTGACAGCCGTGAGCTGCTTCGCTTCCTCCTGCTGCTTCTCAATTTCCGCGGCCTGCTGCCGCTGCAGTGAAGGCGCACTAATCTCCATACCAAGGATAATGTCTCGGACTTCGCTGCTCGTCAAACTCTGCACGTTCACATTGTTCTTCTTTCCATAATCGTTGAGAATCAAGTCACGAAGTTGCACTTCAACCTTGATCCAATCCTCGTCCGAGAGCGTAGGCCAGATGTGATGCTCTTGAGTAATGACTGTCTTGTCAGGTCTCAAGATGATCTTGGCCTTATCAATATTGACGTGCAGAGCTCGAAGAATAAGAATCAGTCGGGAGAAGGCGGTATACGGAGAGATGGACTTGAGCCATTCATCGTAGAGGTTGAAGAGTACCATTTGCGGTTCGGTTGCCCGCAAAATCATATCTGCCAGCTTCTCGACCTTCATGGCAGCCTGGAACGGCAACTGGAGCTCAGAGGCGCGGATTGAGATGTTGGGAAAGTCGAGCAGATGGACTTCAAGGGGATCCAGAAGACCCTTTCGAGTGACAATGAGCTGCTTAGGCTGTTCTTCCACAGGCAGGGACCGAATGAGTGCTGCAACTTCTTCTGCTGTCTTCCACTTCGCCAATTGGCCGAGACGCTTCTGACCTGCCCAAACACTAGTGTGAATGATCTTGAGGAACAACTGACCAGTCCGAGGATTGAAGATGAAGATGGCGCCGTTGATGGGCTTTGTGGTCAAGTTGCCTTCGAAGGTCTTGTGAATGGTGACACGGTAGACATTAGTATCGTCAATGAACAGTTGAATCTGTGGACTGAACAGTTCGGAGTAATTCTGAGAGTTGAGGAACT